GAGTAGGCAGGTGTAAGATTGTGCTGTACCCGACTAGACTTTTGGCTTACTGTGGAGATCTGGCTTCTTTTCTGTACAATTTGGGGAAGGCTGCTGTGTTCTGGAATAAGGAATGCCCCCTATTAGCTATGGAGTACTGGACTGAGTGGTGAAGCAGAGGCGCATAAATCACCTTCCAGCAGCCAAGTCACTGCTGCTTACTGGGGAGCAGAAAAGGTGATGCAGTGGCAAGGTTCCTGGAGCTGTTGTGGACTAGAATGAAGAACAACACATGTTCTTAACATCACCTGTTTGCAGTAAATGAGCACTTTTAAAAACTCAGGTTCATCCCTAGTATAATCTCTTCTGTTTCTCCAGCAGCCAAGTTTCCAAAGTTGGACAGCGTCCAAAGGCCATACCAAAGGTGTAGCTTTCCATTGGCTGTAGTGCTATGTGGCACAAGCATTTTAGCCTAAGGTAAAACAGTGCTTCTTTGCCTTAGAAGAGGGCTGGCCAACAACTCTTGCACTATTTTTTCTTGGTTTCAGCATGGGGATGTTTGTAGCAGATCCTTAAACTCGCCAGTTGCAGCTTTGTAATTTCTGCAGAGAACCTGTGTGAGTGAGCAGTGCTTCTTTAGAGGAGCACAGGAAGGTGTCTTAGACCCAGTAGCAGCCAGCATGGTGGGGCAGAGGCACTTACCTGACCTCCTGATAGGTGCATTACTGCTGCTTACTGGGAGGGAGAGGGGCAAAGTAGTGGTGTAGTGCAAACACATTGGCAGCAACAGTGGATTGACTCTGCTGGTGCATTTGCACTGCACCAACCTTGCTAGCTTGCCCTTCTCCCTCCTGGTAAGCAGCAGTGACTCACCTGTCAGGAAGTCAGGATAGCACCATTCTGTGCACTACTGCTTATACCACATAAAGCTATTTGTCCATCTAGTGTGGCTTTTTCTGTCTAGCACTGGCTCCCAGGCCCTCTGGCAGAAAAGTCTATCCCATCACCTGCTACACGGCCCCTTTTAGCTGGAGATGCCTGGGACTGAAATTACATACCCAATGAGTCCATGTTGCATAGCTCTTTCCTTTCTCCCACATAGCGGAATGCCGTTGGCTTCTCTTTGGGGCAGGAAATAAATCACTTAGGATGGGGACACCATTACGGTGAGGGCAAAACCCACCTACCAGCCCACTAGATGGCCTCACTTCCACCAGCTGGAACTTCTTTGGGTTGTGCAATTTATAGAACAATATCCAGGCCTTGAGGGCTGGGAGAATATACTGATTTTGGTTTCTCCCAGTTTCTCATAGACAGCATGGCTACTAATTAGGGATGATGGGAGTTGTAGTATACATACATCCTGCCCATCCTAATGAATGCATTTCACTACTTGTACCTGCGTAAAAGGTTCCTAAACTGGATAATGGGAGGACCAGCTGACATTTGGGACAAACATGTCCATTTGAGCTATTAAAGGCTTAATGTGGTAAAATGGTATTTTGCAGCACAAGGCAGTCACAGGTTCACATCTTGTTGCATATACTGCAAATCTATCTAATCTATCTATCTATCATCTATCTATCATCTATCTATCTATCATCTATCTAACCACTGGCTATTTCTTCAGATTGCTAGATATCTGGCACCAGCTCTTCCCATTATTCAATTACTTTTATGAAAGTTCCATATAACACAAGGTTTCATGTTAGATCATGTCGGAGCCTTTGCTTGTCAGAGCTGGAGGCCTATATAATAAATTTCCACACCGTGTGATTCTGTTGATGCAATGGAATCAGCTCTTTATTATAAAGGAACAGAAAAAACAAACAAACAAACCTGGCCACATGCTATATATATATATATAACAGAGGTAACCAAAGTGGTAGCCTCCAGGCGTTTTGGGCACCAACTCACATCAGTGCCAGCCAGTATGGCCAGTGGTGAGGGATGATGGGATCTGTAGTCCAAAACATCTGGCGGATGCCATGCTAGCTATCCCTGGCCTACAGCAGCTGCTTGATTACATATCCCAGCACATCTAAGCAATGTCAGATCCTAATTGGAACGAATTGTGGATTCTTTGCTCAGTTTATACTTGGGCAAATCCCTCTAGTCTATGGAAGGAATAGAGTAACCAGATGCAAATGAAGGCAGGGCTCTTGGTCTCATTACCTAGTAAGTGTGGTGATAAGGGATGTAGGAAGCTGCCTTTTATCATGTCCATCTAGCTTAGTGTTGTTTGTGGACTCTACACTAACAGCAGTGACTCTCTAGGGTTTTAGACAGAGTGCCATCCCTCTGCAGCCCTACATGATGATTGAAACTGGGACCTTTTGCATGCAAAGCGCTACAGCCCTTTTGCTTGATGTAAGATTATATTTGAAAAGGAGGAAATACTGAAGCCTGCAGCGCAGAAGTGCAGGGAGCAGGTGACTGAAGCATCCATGCCTGCTCTTTCCCCTCTGCAAAACCCCTTCCCTTAAACCAAAGTTCTGTGTTTTGCATTAAGTGGAATCTACTTCCCTGTTTCCCGTGCCTGCCACTTATTTATTGAGTGGGGATTCGAACTCTAGTCTCCCAGGCACTCTAACCATTACACCACACGGGCTCCGTTGCCTCCTGTGCCTTCAACAGCTTTCTTTCTTTTTTATTTGGCACGGAGATGAAGCAATCGAGAAGACGCCACTTGCTAAATTTCCGCGTGCCAGGCAGCTGTTACAGGCACCAGAGCGCAGCTTCCACTCAAAAGTTGGCAAGCGTATTTCCCACTGGTCTCTGCAGGAGGAATTGCACTGGAGGCTAGCAGGCAGGTTTATGCTTCCTGGGAGGATGTGCGGTGCTGTGAAGCAGACACAGATAAGCTTATGCCTGGCTGTGAGGGAAGCCTTTTTGTTTCTGTGTATCTTGTCTTTGCTGGGACTGTGTTTTAATTATGTTTTCACACTGCCTGGTAAATGCTGTGCTTCTGAAGGTGTGTGGAGTGCTCTTTCCTAATCACACCAGCACCAGTTCCTGCTCTCAAGGGGAGGGGAATTCTGAATTATCTGGACCAGGCTTCCTCAACCTTAGTGCCCTCTAGATTTCAGCTCCCGCCTACGTTGGTTGGCGCTGATGGGAACATCTGGATAGCACCAGGCTGGGAAAGGCTTGTCTGGACTCTTGGATCACCCACTTTTTTTGCACACAAAGCATGCGGTGGATAAGATCTTCTCAACTGGCCACTTATCCTGCCCAAAGGATTGAGCCCATTACGTAATCCATGCACTCTGATTGGTTTTAATCTTATTATAACTGATGTACATCTGGAAGGGACCTCATGGAGGTCAAAGTATGAAGTTAACGGATTACATGTCTGCGTTCCACTTAGATCAGAGTCTGAGCCATTCTGACTGGCACGCGCAAACATACACACACACTCCCACAGAAGGAGGAAATCTTCACGTTAACTCCCATTTGCACTTTTGAAACATCTGACAGATTAAGGAGAATATCAAAACACGACAACGTCGGACTCCGCGACCATTTTTGCAGTCATCACAGTTCAGTGGGAAAATACTGTAACATTCCTTTAGAACGGACACACACGCAAAATGAAATAAGAAGGTCAACTATGGAAATTGTTGACAATAGAGACTCTAATATATTATTCTGTAATACAAAAGAAGAATTTTGACTTGATTGCCCTATTATAAATTTGCTAAAAATACAGTCATATATTTATATATCATTCCCCACCCCCACCCTGTTTTTTTTTTATCGGAACAGAAAAATAGACTACTCTGGAATGCATGAAAGTCACCCGACTTTCCCCTCAGCACTACTTACAGAGCCAACACAATGGCAAACTGGAGGAACAGCAAACAGCTGTACTTTCAACCAGAACTTTATTAAAGCCATATTCTCCCTGACAGGTTGTTTATAAAGCAACCTCCATGACTACTTTTGCTTTGTTTTGGTTACCATCTAAGGGGAATTAATGATTGGTCGTACGGGAAAATTTGACAAAGGGAAAGAGTGACTCTGAAAGCTCTGTGCTCTCAGAGTTGATTCCCACAACCCTGCTTTTTTAAAAAATGGGATGAGTGAAAGTCCCATATAATGGGCGGTTTGATGGAATTGCTCCTCTTGGACATTCCATGGAGCTTTAAACAAGAAAATCGTGTCCAAGCAAAACAGTTTATAAGGGACCCTCTTGATGCAACAGCACACTGAGGGTAATTTTGATGGGTAAGTAGGAGCCTCAGTTTGGCTAGCTCATGGGGAGTCAACATGGTGCCCTTCAGAGGTTTTTGGACTTCAACTCCCATGAGCCCTTGCCAGAAGAGCTAATGGTCAGGCAGTGGCGTAGCGTGGGGGTGCAGGGGGGGCCGGCTGCACCGGGCGCAACATCTGGGGGTTAGGGTTAGGGGGAGCAAATCCACAGGTTAGGGGGCACAAATTACTTGCCTTGCCCTGGGTGCTGACAACCCACGCTACGCCACTGTGGTCAGGGATGATAGGAGTTGTGGCCCAACTGGGAATGGATGGCTCTGTCGGTGCTGTTTCTCATTTTTCCAATCTTGAATTTCTGCAGCAGTTTGTATTATCTTTTAAGAAATCCTCATGAGAATTCACCAGCCTTTTAGTGTGACTTTTTCCAAACAGGCACATTTTTTGTACTCAGTTCTGCTTAATATACATATGCCATTCCCCCAAACATTTCTTACGTTATTTTCAACAATACATTTTTAAAAATATACACTTTACCCTATTATATGCATTTTAGGACATCTTACTTCTGTTGCAAAAGTTGGAGATGAGTGAATTTTTTAAAGAACTGCTGTGTTTGGGTTCACATATTTTCTTGGAAAGTGTGAATTTTGTAGATTGGCCTTTAAATGTGAGTCAAATCCAATTTCTCCCTGTACCCCAAGCCCAGCAACACCCAAAGGACACCATGTCATCTTTCCCCTTTAAGAAGGACTCTTGAGAAGCTGAGTACTGTTAAGGCTAGTTGACAGACGGAGGCTGTTAGGCAGCTAAGTAGTGAGATAGGGGAAGAGGACGTCCACAGCTGCAGCATCCCTCATCATCACGATGCAGGAGGGACATGTTAATTTTCTCCCGTAAATGCTGATAGCTGGATTTTTGTCCGGTTGCCTGTTGGAACGCATTGGGGAGCTGGCAGCTGTGGAAGCAAGTAAGAGTGCCTCAGATTTAGCACTCCCATAGTGGAGCAAAGCTTGACATACAATAAGCCCACCATGTGAACAGGCTGTGCGAATCCACGTTCACATACATTAGTGTTTTAGCCATGCCACAGAATACCCACTGCTATTGTTGCTTTGTGTGGCGATTGTACCAATGGCATAGCATGGGTGCTTTGGAAGAGTGTTCTGATCTACCAAATGTCATGTGGAATGTATCAGTCGAGAGAATGCGGCTTTAGTAACCTCCACATGAGCTTGAAATACCCCTGGTATACGAATCACAAGTTAGTACCAGTCGTCATTCTGTCAAGACATAAATATAGGATAGGTACAAATATTATCAATACATTGCAGTCTTTTTTTTTTACAGAAGAGAATACTGTTTTGCTTAAAAATCTTGTACCTTATTAGCTGCAAAGGGAAGGGAAGGCTACAGTTTATGATAGCCATAGTTGCTAAGGTAACACGTCACACTGATTTGGATGCAACGTGATATACGCAGGGGGGAAAATTCCTCAGGCCTTTTGCCATACAGTCTGTTCGGGGAAGAAATACGCATCCTGCGGGTCATCTTTTTCTTCTTTTGCAATCATTGATTCTCAAGAATTTCATAAAATGTGGACCACCCATAGGACAGGACAATGCTCTTCATGTTCCTGAAGTGTGCTTAGGTGACGTTTCTATGAAAAAAGGCACTGAGAAATCTACCATAATCACAAATACGGCTATTTTTTTTCCTTGCTAAAGGAAAAAAGAAGAAGCAAGCTAGCAGCTGAGGGAATCGTTGCCCCTCAGCTAAGTGCAAGGTCTGCACTCGTTCTTTTCAACCCATTTGCTGTCCATCATGGGGCAGGCAAACAAAGATGGAGGCAGGTACAAGGTTTATCAGATGGCATGATTTCCCTCTCCTCCCCCAGCACACAGTTCTATGCACCATTTCTGGGGGTTCTCCTGACCCACCCGGGCCAATTTTGGGGGGAGGAGAGAGAGGAAACCACTGTTGCACAAATGGAAGTCCTTGAGCAGAGTGTCCGCTCATGGGACTTGTTAGGCGAATTCTGCCCTGTAATATGTTTGTTTATTTGCATGGTGCATAGCACATAGGCAAAGATTTAAAAAAAGGAAAGTGCTGATGATAAAATGCCGAGCGAATACTTCCTGCCAATAAAGTTTATTGGGTCAAGAGGACCATTTAACTATGGTTAGTTTAGGAGCTATTGCTCTGGAAATTTTTTTTCTCACCATCCCAGCAAATGGTCTATCTCCAAAGTAGATACCTACACTCCACTTTCTCTCATCTCGTATGCTCATTATTGTTTGCTGGATTCTCTTTTTTCTCTCATGCATCTCTGTATCTTTTAGAAAAAAAGATTTAACGAGAAAACAAGTTCTGCTGGGCAGTACCATTTCCGGGGCACCCAGTACCCCTGGGCAGCTCCTGGGCCTCCAGCCCTGCCTGTTGCCTGCCCTGACCCTCCTTTAATATTTTTTTGGCCCAGCATTTTAAGCGAAGACCCGGCAGTTAGTCTAGATACCATACTTATTTTCCACCATGCCTCAGTGCAGTGTGCTGTGTTGAAGGCATTGTGGGAAACCAAAATGGCGGCTGGGCAACAGCTACCTGGTGCTGCTCTGATTGCTGCCACGAGGGAAGACCAGCAGAGCCCAATGACAGAGGAGGGAGCTCACCTAAGGGTGCTTTGTCCCAGGCCCCTTCAAACCTGAAGCTGGCCGTGCCTATTTCAGGCAATCGGTGTTTTGGATGTGTGTGTTTCCACAGAGTGAAATTTAAAAGATTTCATTCTCTCTTCAGCAGTCTGAATTGGGACAGCCCGTCAAGAGACACATCAAATGGGACTCCTGCTTGTCTGTTTTACTGTAGGGCCACAGCAACTGGTTTACCACACAGAGTGTTTGCTCATTCTACCTCCTCTTGGCAACTTCAGCTAGTGAAAGGGCCAGCTATGCATCTAACAAACAAGCAAATTGTACAGAGGCGTTATTTTCAATACTTTATGGATTTCTGAACTGTGGTCCCCCTAAAAAAACACCCCACTACTTTCCCCTTTTGTGATGAGTGCAGACCCTTCCCCAATTCTTTTGGATTTTTGCTTTCATTCCAAATGCTTTTCTAAAGTTCAGAGTAGATTTCCCAGTGCTCATACATCTATACTTAGTTTGTACAAAGCAGTTCATTGTCAGGCATCATTTAATTTAAATTAATCATAGGACACAATCCTAGGTTCTCTGGCGCAAGCTGCACTGAAATGAACAGAAGATACAGGACCATTGCTATGGTTTTGTGTAGAACCCATTCACAGCAGTGCGGTTTGCCCCAGAGATCCATGTTTGTTTGTTTTTTGTGGGGCACAAAATGTGAGCTAGAATAACACTTTCACAAACAGAAGAAAGAAATGTTTTTGAGCATAGTGTATGCCCATCTTTAATTATTCTCTTTCTATAAGAAATCTATAGGACTTTGGCGGTTCACACTCAAAGGATAGATACTTTATGATACTTTTGAACAAAGCTGTCAAAAGTGACCCGGTAACATGCTACTTGAGAAGTTTGCGCTAGATGAATGATAGTTTTGTGTCACACTACGTCCACGCAAGGCAATAACAGGGCCTTTGGTTACAAGGAGAGTTGCACCAGTTGATATTCCAGGTTTGTTTTTTAAACGCCACGATTCTTGTGACTGTCATCTAGGAACTCAAATGTCTCATTTCCAATAGCGATTTGTTAAATACTTTCTCTATATGGCTATAGTCAAACGCATTTGCTTTCGGATATGAAAAATACAATTCCTCTGAAAACTTTTTACATGAAAGAATCAGCTCTAAAATATGCAATGTGGAAATCACCATTGTATACTTTTTATATATCAAAAAGTAATTTTTCCCTGAATTTGTTTTTATTTAAAACATTTGTGCTGATAATGGACATGACAGACTTTTAACACAAACAATTTAGGGGTTTGACTTGCAAATGACCTAATTCACTTGCCTTTGCTTAAGCACATAAGCAGTCTAGCTCTTGCCTCCCTGTCAATCCCAGTGTTGAAACTATTTAACACCCCCCCACTTAAAATACATGGGAGTTTTCCGTAGCAATTGGTTTTCATCTCTAAAATAATCTTTCCCAGAGTCTAGCCCTAAACATGAAGGAAGCTTCCCGAGTTCAATGGAACTCACTTAATAGTCAGTTTAATTAAGAATGGATCACTGCAATAATATGCTTAAAGCTCATTTGCTGTATCATTAGTTCCTAATAATTATTTGATTGTTACAACTTAACTCTCCTAAGTACATTTTATGAATTACTGCGAGGCTCATCCTTAATGCAAGTTTTGAATGAACAAAGACGGACTTCTAACATGGGGCAGGGGGTGTTCTTTTCAAATATGCTATTCTGTTGAGACTTTTGAATATAGAGGTGCGTTTTTGGCTGCTGACTGTGCGACTTCTTGCACGGAAAGGAGCTTATCCGACTTTTACTGGCCTAAACTGTACACAATTTGAGCTTATCCATATCTTGATCTGTCTTATGCGCATGTGAGTGAATAGGACAATAGCGTAACCATAAGGCCTCTCTGGAAATATTGGGAAATTATTCAGTAATCCCAACAGTACTGGATTACTGAATAATTCAGCCAATGTGCAACATCTCCATACCTACATATAATATTGTGCCAGCCAGAGGTCTAACTTAACAAAGCGATCATGACAACCCCAATGCGCTTATTGCTTTTGTCCATCCACGCTGTGTGCATTAGAGGCAGGAGTACAGTACAGCTTGAATGGACAAGAATGACAGTCATGACCAACCAACGACTATATGACACCGGAAACATAACTGTTTGACAAAACATGTATATCCAGATAGTGGGGTAGTCTTTTTCAAGGGTGCAATATATTACTGAAAGCTTTTCGTTTCAGAAAAATTGAGCCTCGAGGCCTGTAGCATGCAGGTGGTTTATGCACCACCGTAGGTGCAATGCACTTCACTGATAAAACACCCATGTCTAAAAAGGTTACTGTGCTTCCAAATGGAGGCTTAATATTGTAAATGGGCCATTCAGATACTGCACACAGGTCACTGACAACAGGTGTTTTTTTTAAACGTTTTGGGTTTCGCCCGGGGAATGCTAAATCCAGATGATACTGGGGCAGGAGAGAATACAGGCCAGCATTTTGATGCCAGCAATGTAATGTGGATGCTGCGAAAAATCTGCATGCATGAGGAGCACCTATCCCATAATAAACACCCAGCTGGAAGCAACCTTAATTTGATGTACTGGCCAAAAAACTTCACTGTTCCCAGGTTTTTAAACCTCAGTCCTTGAATATGGCCAGTGAAAATATTGTACATAGCCCATATGCAATATTTTGGTATCTTCCTAGAAAAACTGAACAAAACCCATATTATTATTGTAGGAGGAAAACAAGAACATGACATTTCTCTATACTACTTTTACCAACTTGCTCCAAAGTTTAGTTCATGTCTATTTCACATGTGTTTATTGGGGGGAAGGCAGTGACCTAACGTTTCTTCTTCAACTGCCCACCTCTTATACTAGACTTTGAGTCCACATCAGAGTACCGTGTACCCTGAAAGAGAAATCAAACTTTCAATGACACATATACTACAGCAACAATGGACACAACATTAAGTGTTATCATCACAGTTATCGCAGTTCGTTACCAGGTGGGTAACAAATCACAGATGTGACGAGGCACAAATCAAGATAGTGCTTGTTTTAAAGTGCTAGGTTGTTTGTTTGTTTTTTATTTAAAAAAATACATTCTCTCTGCTTCTCTACGCCACCTTTGTCAAACGCAATAATAAAATCAACATAAAGTGCTTTTGATATCAGCAAACCTAAATGATACAAGATTTAATATACCAGCCTACCTTATAAATCCAAGCTGGTATTTATGGTTTTCTTTAAAACGGCCAGTTTAAAAACAAAATATTTGAAACTTGATTCTCTTCTCATTTACACCACACCTGTGAAACTCCAGTGGGAGCCTCTTATGATTCACAACCAGTCCAAATGAGAGGAGGATCAGACTAATTGCTTAGGATTGTTGTTACTATTTTTGCATATTTATGTTTTTAAAACTTGCATATCTTTTCATTCTGCGCTATTTAAGTGCAAAATGTGGCAGAAAGATTCTTCTGGCATGGATAACAGATTAGGTGTAAGCCATGAAAGGATGTGCAAATAATTCAGGGAGCCGACATTTAATGCCTTTTCATACTATTAACTTTAGCCCCTTTTGTGCTGGAGATGATCATAATGCCAGTATGGACTCCCAGCTTAATTCTTTGGTCAGAATCTCCAGGGGTTGCACTGTCCTTTCGTTTACATTATGGCTGTGGTTTTGGGTAGTAGCCTTCCCCCAACACACAAAAGGGTCAGCTACATCTTGGTTGCTCCCTTCTAAGAATACCAACCAAACCCTCTCACCCATAAGAGCAGAACAATGCTTCCTTCACACATCCATTCCCATTGTCTTTTCAGTTTGAAAACTGCCTTTCTAATCTCAGTTTAAAAACTGCTTGCCTGATCTCTGTTTTGGTGTTACTATGAGCAGTAATAAGTGCTATTCTTAGCTATAATTTTGAAGGGGTGTTTTGGATTTAGATACAAGTGGTGCAACTCACCCTGCTGTTACCTTTTTTATAAAGAAAACTTCAGGTCTCAATGAATCTTGAAGTATTAAGCACACACAGAGAATTTAAACAGTTTATTTCTCAATTCACTGAATCCGCAATTTAACCAGCCCATTCTGTTACCTTTAGACCTCGTATCCCTCAGAGAAGAAGGCATAGCTGGGGATGTTTGAAACAGTTGCCCTCATGCAAAAAGTGTTGCATCACTGATTATTCTTACCACACCTAACCATTTCTTCCAGTATTTGACTCTGGCCACCTTGGTCTCCTTTAAAGGGGTACTGCAGTGTCGGGTGCTGATACTGCCACATATAAGAGATCCATCAAAGAAGGGGGGGAAGTGAATGGAATATTTGGTCACACTAACTTCAATGAAGGAAGTCGAAAGGAGATCAAATTATGACCAAGATGCACAATCTTTGTTTCAGTTGATGGCTGTGGCCAGTAACTTTGTAGTGGATCCAGAGAAGGACTTATTCCTGAGCCCACCTTGAGGGCATCCTCTTGCTTTTAAAAAACAGGTGGCTTGTTTCAGTCAAAAGTTCATGCCATGCAGAAGCTCTTCTTCGCGTGTTGAGTGTAAAGGCATTCCTTTTCAGCTTTCACCAAAAGTTCTGGGTTACATGTCAGATCTTTTGATCATGTGTGTTACCATGTCCTCCTCCACCCGGTAATATGTGAACTTCGGGTGAAATGTGGTTCTCTAATTTGATAGTTTCCTGGTTACCACGGGTTCTTCCAGTGATACTTTCCATGGAATAAAGGCAATTTTGCCCAATTAGCTTGGGTGAGGAGGGTAAAGCAGCAGTCTCTAAGTGGTTCTTCTCTGTTCTATAAACACTATCCCTTTGCCTTAAATAGCCACCATGTGTAATGCTGTATTTGGGAGCTGGGTTTCCTGGTGGGGCTTTGGGAGGGCTTGAGTCGTACAGCAACTGACCTTCGTCATCAGTGTCGGCGTCGATATATTTATGTATCCCAGCATCGTGGAAGTTGAAAACTATTGCTGCCTGCTTCTCGGGGGATTTTGTGGGTGTTCGAGTACTTGCAGTAGTATAGATAGAGGTTTCTGGACTCATTAAAGACCGATCAGAGTGGCCAGAACTGTCTGTAGCTGCTCCTGTTGCTCCTTTGCTCTTGAGGGGATCTGGGTATATTCTCAGGACGTTTGATGCTGTTGGTCCTATGGCATCCTCTTCCATAAAGTTAACCTTCAGGGATCTTAATTTTAGAGGATTGGTGACTTTTATGGTACTTTTGGGGCTCTCTATGAAAAATGTAGAGCAACGACTGCTTTCTAGATTTGGTTTTATCTCCATGAATTTGGACCCGCTTCCCTCTGGCCTATATGGATCCTGAAGTGGATTTATCCCACCTTTGTTAGGCAGCGTAGTTAATGGGCTATGGGAATATCTCCCGGAGTCGGGAAATTCTGTAGCACAGCTTATATAACTGTCAATACTTGACATGCTCCTCATGTCAATTATTCCATCTGCCCGAGTGGTCAGCAAAGGGACCATAGGGCCAGGAATAGCTTCCATTTCTAATTCTTCCTTTTGCTTGTTGGGTTGACCTGACTCCTTCATGTTGAGGTTGGGCTGGGACTGAGCTTTCGCCATTTTGCTGTACATGTCTTCCAGCTGTTGAACATTCAGATGCTGAGGACTGGAAGATGAACGAGCCTTTTCTGGCGACCCTTGTTCCTTTGTCTCTAAAGATTTGTTGGAGCTAGTTTCAGAGAGAGATCTCTTGGCCCATTTCCACTTGCTTGGGGATAAGTGATTGTCCTGAATTTTATCCTTTTTGCCTGCATTTTCTCCCTTTTTTTCAACGACTATGTCCATCAGTTCTATACTACGGGCAAAAGCATCCTTCATATTCATGGACACAATGCTCCCATTTCTTTTTGCTCTTTCAAGAGCTTCTCTGCGCTTGATGGCTTTTTCCTGCCTCTTCTGCTCTTTGTAGAACTCAGAGAAGTTATTTACAATGATTGGTATAGGGAGCGCAATGACTAAGACACCAGCAATGCAACACAAGCCACCGACGATCTTACCTAAGAGTGTTTTAGGGTAGATGTCTCCATAGCCAACGGTTGTCATAGTTATGGTTGCCCACCAGAAGGATGCTGGGATGCTCTTGAATTTCGTATCCTCCTCATCTTTTTCTGCAAAGAACACCAAGCTCGAAAATATCATAATCCCCATGGCCAGAAACAAAATGAGCAACCCAAGCTCATTGTAGCTTCTCCTCAGCGTAAATCCCAGGGATTGCAAACCGGTGGAATGCCGAGCTAGCTTGAGAATTCGGAGTATCCTCATGATACGGAATATCTGAACGACCCTCCGCACGTTCTGGAACTGAAGTACACTTTTGTTTGACTCTGTGAGGAAGATGGTGACGTAGTATGGCAAGATGGCTAACAAGTCGATAGCATTCAGCGGCCCTTTGAAAAACTTCCATTTCTTAGGAGAGGAGAGGAACCGTAAGAGGTATTCCATTGTAAACCATGCAATGCACACAGCCTCGACATGGGCTAACTGGTGGTTATCGGTGGAATTTCCATATTCATCTGTGCCTTGGAGCTCAGGAAGAGTGTTGAGTGACAAGGCAATTGTAGAGAGGACGATGAACATGATGGAAATGATTGCCAAAATCTGCAAAGAAAACAGAAAGTGGTTAGGGCCACTGAAATGGGTAATGATTTAGCATCGTTAAAATCATTTCATTTCCTGCTCTCACTTTTGCACATCAAATGCTGAAATGGATGGGCACGGCTTGCCTAGGTCCATAGGCCTCAATAGGGCTGCTCTGGGTGGAACTTAGTTGGATACAAACCATCGTTTTTGTTTTGGATACCTGCTTTATATCATTGCATAATGGTCTTTGTATTACATATTTTATACACAGATCCCAGGCACTACCCTGGTAGCCTTCATGTTCAAGGATGGGATATAAATTTAATTTTTAAAAAATGAAACAAAAGGCAGTAAACATGTGAAACGACCTGCCAAGATTATTGCTTTTAAGGGAAATAAGTGGAATTTCATGTGTTCTTGTTAAAACACTTAGGTGTTACAAATGACCTCCCCATCTATAGTTATGGAATTAAGAAACGTTCTTAGGTTCCTCTACTTCCCAAGCAGATAATCTGCTCACAGTGAAGGGCAATAGTACCTTGATTTCTTTTGTTGATAAAGCACTTTCATATTTATGCTAAAAATCTTTTCTGAGTAATTCAGTAGTACATTAAAATAGATATTTATATGTAATGACCAGACTTCCTGTAATTGCTCTCAAATCTGGGTCCCCTTGGGACCAGTCAAATTTTGATACTTCAGCAGATGTTGGGATTATGTACCATATCCATACTCGACATTTCAGCTACCAAGGGTGTGTTTTCTACATTCCATTTAAGATTAGTTCTTTCCTTGTTAACTTGGTTTATCCTCATCTGTATCTCAAACATTATGATTGTTATACCCTTCCTAATCTGATTAATACATCTGGTAAAGAAGCCTGAGGCCTTCGAAAGATTAGGAATCACGGTAAATTGCCAGGCACCTATTAATGATGAGCAAATCTGTCAATTTCTGTTTTCTTCAACCTTAAGTTCACAGTTCTTCACATTTCCACATCAGCTTGCTTTAAAAACAAGAAACACAATTGCCCCTAAAATACACATTTTTGCACAGCAAATTTTCCTATACATAATGAATTTTCATATGCTATTTGTCAGGGACCGGGCAGAGGAGGAAGGGTGGAGACTGCCTCCCTATCCTGACCCTTCCAGGAAGGAGGAAGATGAAGACAGTATAGATTTACAACAGTGGTCTGCGGGAGGTCACAGCTCAGAGGCAAACGAGGGGGGAAACTGGGAAATCATGGGACAGCCAAAACAACACCCAGATGACACGTTGTCGTTCCAGACCCTCCATCTCCCAGAACCCGGAGAACCTTAAAGGTAGGAGAGCAAAGAGCTCAAAGACAGAGGGCAAGTAGCAGCACCCGTAGAGGAGACGATGAGAATGATGAATGAGAAAGTGGGAGAGGTGTGGGGTCGAGATTCACTCGGGACAATGCCATTATCCAAGAGGCTGGGTTCTATTGCCTGTCTGTGTAAAGAATGAAATAAAAAAGGATGATAAGAAACTTTTCCTTGTCCTTATACTTTTCTGGGCAACCAGATGGGAGGCGCTGACAGCATCCTGGCATTATCACCAATATATGCACTTTTAGACAAGAGTTTACCCCAGTATATGTATTTTTTTTCCTACACATGACTCAGAATCATAGAGTTGTAGAGCCATCAAGTCCAACTCCCTGTGCTAGGGTGGAGAACTGCACTGTAAAAGTTGGAGAAGTATGAATTTTGAAGGATGGCTGTGTTTTGGTTCACATATTGCCTCAGAAAGTGTGAATTAGGTAGATTTGCCTTTAAATATGAACTCAATTGGATTTCTTCCCCATCCCTAGCTCTGTACACTCTCTGAATGCTTATCGTCTTCCGCGCTGAATGTAAACACAGCAGCGGTCACGATGCATCAGCCTCTGTGCACATCCACCTGCTTGGACAAAAATCAAAATAGAACAACCTGAAATAGAGCCCTTGATCTTACAGTAGAAGCTGCCATTTCCAGTCACAGTCACACACAAAAGCAAATGGTAGATCAAGGTGCTAAAATGTTGCACTTGTCAGGAATTCACATCACATATGGGCATATAATACCTTGTCTGGAAGCATTGGTCCACCTGACCAATATAAGAATTATCCATGCATTGGTAATATTCTCTTTGCAATATTAAGTTAGATGATGATGATGATTGATTTACCCATCCTTCACCCTAAGGTCCCAGGGTAGGTTACCGCATTAAAACACAGTATCATAAATAATTCAAAAGATCTTACAACCATAAAAATAAAGTGGTTCCTAATAGCATATACCTCAAGTCTCAAAAGCCAGGTTAAAGACGTTTTCAGCATTCTCCACTTCCTGGACCCACCCAAGCAATCACCTTTGGCTTGATCCAAGAAGACAAGGTGGTCAGCAGCCAAGGGTGGTCAGATGCACTTCTTAAAGCAGGATGCCCACCTCCTCGGCCCACAATAATCTAAAGTAGCCTTTCTCAACCACTGGTCCTCAGATGTTGTTGGATTACAACTTCCATTACTCCTAGCTAGAAGGACCAGTGGTTCGGATCATGGGAGTTGTAGTCCAGGGGTCAGCAAACTTTTTCAGCAGGGGGTCGGTCCGCTGTCGCTCAGACCTTGTGGGGGGCCAGACTATATTTTGGGGAAAAATTGAACGAATTCCTATGCCCCACAAATAACCCAGAGATGCATTTTAAATAAAAGGACATGTTCTACTCATGTAAAAACACGCTGTTTCTGGACTGTCCGTGGGCTGGATTTTGAAGGCAATTGGGCTGGATCCAGCCCCCGGGCCTTAGTTGCCTACCCATGTTGTAGTCCATCAACATCTGGGTACCCACGTTTGAGAAAGGCTGATCTAAACTGATCCTGTACAGATGGAACAGTGTTCAGGGGACCTCTGATGGACTGGCTTGAACTCTGGTGCTCAGCGAAGAACAACGTAACTAATTCAAAAAGTAAAAAGTCCTGGAGCTGGCTACTCTTTCCTTTGGGCGCCATTTGCAAAGAGGAGCCAATGGTGCCAAAGGCATAAGTCAAACCTGTTTTCTAAAAATTATACGTGAACATTTGCTTTGCAGCAAAACAATTGTTGCACCCCTGGGCTTGATGATGGATTCTCTGGGCAGTGCGTACACTGTACCAAGAAAATAAAATATTTACCAAGAAAAGCCAGATTTTACAACCTATATACCTTTAGTAAGCTTGACATTTTTTGTTTCATTTCTTCTGCTTCCTCTAGTTAAGGTGTTGAAGGGAGACCCACAAACTTGGAGCTCATAATCTTGCTCTGTAATCCTCCTGGCTCCTGAGGTTTCACTAGGTTCACAAGGTTAAACCCTGGCAACTTTCTCTTTTTCTTAAAATGAAGGCTGAGATTGCTAGAGAGCAGAATTGCACACGAACTGCCATTCTAGTTTTTGGTACTTTTGCAGTTTCTTGAATGCCTACTAGTCAATGCCTGGCAATTCAAAAGTGGAGGCCATTTTGACATCAGGGCAGGTGTCTCAACTCTGTCTACTAGCCCAGGATATTTTGCTGTCAGAGGAGAGGATGTAGTACAACTCATGCAACACGTTGGCGACTAATATACACACAGTAGTTACCAAAATGATTATACATTCTTTATCAATCTTCTGAGAAAAATACAAAACCTTATGCAAAGCCACAGAGACTTGCGAACTACCCAACCTAAGATGAACTTATAATGGCATACAATCTGGACAAGAAAATTGGCTTCCAGGTGGAAAAATCAAAATTAGAAACAGAACTGTTAGAACCCAAAACTAAGACTTTGTCAAAGATGTATAACTTGCTGTTGAAATGGAATACACAGGATGAAACGGTGAAATCTGCTATGATTAAATGGGCACAAGATGTTGGACATAACATAATGATGGCTGACTGGGAATAGTTATGGACCACAGGTATGAAGTTCACGGCATGTAATGCCTTAAGAGAGAATATTATGAAAATGATATACAGGTGGTACATGACACCAGTCAAGCTTGCAAAAATTTATCATTTGCCCGATAATAAATGTTGGAAATGTAAAGAAACGGAAGGTACATTCTTTCACCTTTGGTGGACGTGCCCAAGGATTAAGGCTTTCTGGGAGATGATTTATAATGAAATGAAAAGGGTATTTAAATATACCTTTCTGAAGAAACCAGAGGCCTTTCTCCTGGGCATGGTCGGCCAAATGGTGCCAAAGAAGGACAGAACTTTCTTTATGTATGCTACAACAGCAGCAAGAATACTTATTGCAAAGTATTGGAAGACACAAGATCTACCCACTCTGGAAGAATGGCAGATGAAGGTGATGGACTACATGGAATTGGCGGAAATGACTGGCAGAATCCGAGACCAAGAAGAGTCGGTGGAAGAAGATTGGAAGAAATTTAAAGACTACTTACAGAAATATTGTAAAATTAATGAATGTTAGAATGATGTCAGAATGAAGTTAAGTGGTTTTAGCAGCAGCGTCATAAAGGTGTATGTAAAAATGGATGGTTAATAGGTGAGAATCTAAAGCTATAATATATTAAGTTAAAGGACTAAGACAAAAACAAAGAGGGAAAGGAATTGCTGAATTAACCAATTGAACTGGAATACAAAAAAGGGAGGTGAGAGGAGGTCAGGGAAGCAAGGAAATGAAATGTAAGATACGGAAGGATTAAATTGTTTTTAAGTGTTTTTTTGTGTTTTTTTCTATACTTTGTATTTTGTATGTTTTTTTTCTTTTTTTCTATATTTTTCCTTGTCTCTTTTATTTTTAACTATGTAATTTTTTGTTTCTGAAATTTTAATAAATATCATTTTAAAAAAAAAGATGAACTTATAATGTCTGATTTCAATAGATTCAATAGATCAAGTGATTAACTCAGTCTTTTGTTTTCTTTATCTTTTTAGGTAAGTTCATGAAGATATCAACAAAAGGTAAGTTCGGTGTTGTTCACAATACCGAGAGATGTTAGTAAAGTTGTAGACAGATGTTAATGAAGTTGTAGACAGGGTGCCGGCGTTTTGCACCTGTTTCACCTTGGCAGTCCAAGTAATCAAGAGGCTGCTGTTGGCCCCTGATGGGGCCCTTTCACTGGGGCTTGCAGGCAGCACACTCGCAAGGTAGTTTTCTGGGCTTCTTCAGTGGTCTAATCTCAAAGCCTTGATACGTATATTGATATTCAATTTCATAGAGAATACTATTTCTTGGCTTAAGCTTAAGAGGCTGATTTGCTTAGCTACCCCCATCAGTCCAGAAGGTAAATGTATTGGCAGTTGAACTTTACTTCAACACCAGGGATGGGCAGTGGTGGCTGGCAAAAATGCCAGCTCCTCCCCTCCCCCCTGATTCTCAGTAACCAGTAGTGACATGGTTTTGGGAAGCCAAGTGAGCAACGCTGCCCTGACTGGTGACAGGGCAGGATTCTCCACTGCACCCAAGGGCAGGAAGCTAGCTTAAGGAAGTATGGAACACACACATCTGTCCTCCAGCACTTCACTGTATCTGCTGCCTGAGGCAGCTGCCTAAGGGCAGGGCCGGCCTTGACAGGTTCAGAAGCACTGGCATGGTGATTGACCCATATCCGTGCTTGTGTTGCCACACTGTGCTCATCGGGTGTGTTATGTGATGCTCAGAACTTATTCCCGTTATGTTCTGACTGGTAGAAGAAGGCTGCCGTGATTCACCTTCTCAAATGCAGCGCTAATACTGTAGTTCCACCTCAGATACTTCCCTGGGCCACTGCCAAAAGGTGTTGGCCCTTAATGATATTGCTGTCTTGGAACACAAGGCTCCGTATACACAGGCAGGATTCCAGGAACACAAAATGACAGCTGCTTCCAGGAGAGCTTTTCCCACCAGTGCAAATCTACAAGTCCCTGATTGAATTTTTGTGACTCCTAATGAATTATCAGTGCTAAGTAACTTCAGGACAATTCGGTGGTGTTTTTTTTCTTTCTTTAAAGGACCAGGTGCATCAAACACACGCTTTCAGAATGATGATTATTGATTGCACAAAGCAAGAGAGATTTACAATCTAATTGCACGTGTGGTTTTACCACGCTATAGCACAAATCTGCAGCAAACAGTGGAGTAGAAATGGCTGTGAAGTGTTCAATGTAAGATTATCTTTCAATGAGAAAAGAGCAGCCATCCTACCATTAAGGTGCTGTTTAATGGCTCATCTCAGGTAGGAGACTTTGGGGGAGGGTTCTGTCAAAAGGCAGCAAATGGACTTTATGAAATCTGCCTCTACAAAATTCCAATTCAGATTTAGAGGTTCAAATGGTATCAAGTGGAACTCAAATTGTCAGAATCCCCGGTTAAGAGGATCATTCCTGAAATTTTGCGAGTAGAATAGTTTCTGAAGTAGGGTAGGATGTCATCCCCTTTTCTGACCCACCCCACTTATTTTCCTGTGGACATGACTGAGTCCTTTCCAACCATCCCACTTCATCTGGTCATCCATTTTGGGTACTAAGTAAAAACACACCAAGAATAAATTAAAAACAGAACTTTCTACTTCAAAGGCTTTTTGTAAAAAAGAAGTAAATATACTGGCACTATGGGAAATAGCCCAATACAGTGGTACCTATGGTTATGAATTTAATTCATTCCGGAGGTCCGTTCTTAACCTGAAACTGTTCTTAACCCAAGGCACCACTTTAGCTATTGGGGCCTCCCGCTGCCACCGCTTAACCCGAGGTATTACTTCTGGGTTAGTGGAGTCTGTAACCTGAAGTGTTTGTAACCCGAGGCACCACTGTAGTGTAAAAGCATAATGTTGCAGAAATATGAATGTGTAATATTTTTTTAAATGGTGATTTGTGACATTTAATTGGGTATTTCTCCATATGTGTCTTTCCTCTTGTCTCTCTTACTTCAGGTGCACACACACACACACACACACACACACACTCAAAACAACAACAACAACACACACACACACACACACACACACACACACACACTTATTATGCAAAATGGATCTCCCCCACCTTCTCCTCTCCCTGTGTGCCCCCTGTAAATCTGCTTCGGAGGGTTGGGACAGAGTTCAGGTTTGTGTGGGTTTGCATGTGGAGAGGAAAAGGTGAAGAAACTCCACTGTACAGCTAAAACTCCTTGTGCTAGCAGAACCATTTAGCTGGATACCACCCTACCAACCCTGTCAGAGTTCAATCCAAGCAGAACCAAGGAGATGACAGAGTGTTGGAACCATTACAGGGCAGATCTGAAGGAAGTCACTCACTGCTACAAAGAAGGCTTTCAGGGTGCCATTTAGATTCTCTGCCACAGCTACCCAAATGGCTTGTACCTTCACTTGTAAAAG